GCACCGGACAGGGCTCTGCCTGCGCGGCAACAAAATGGGGAGCAGAGTCATGCGGATGCGAGAAATGGCATCTGTTCCCCGAATCTAATGTGGCGAGGGGAAGGGGAAAACAAATTGATCTTCCAGCAGTGACAAATTGTAACAATGGACGAGTCAATTGGAAACTTTAACACGGGCAAGGAACAAAAGGAGGGGAGTGGGGAGGGGGGCGGGGGGAGACAGTAATTTCAATGGGAATTAGTAAATTGCCTAATGGAAATGGTGTTTGAAAGCGAGGGACAGGCTGTACTAAATAATCCAAACATTCCTCCAGAAATCTAACCTGCTGCTCATGCTAAGGGTCATTCGGCACATAGGGTTTCCAAAACAAAGCCAATTTGTCATGCAATATTTAGAGAGTTTGGGGGTTTCAGCTAAACTGTCTTCTATAGAAAGAATAATAAAAATAATAATACAGAGATCGACAAGGCTAACACGAATTCTCAGGCATTAAAAAGTTCACATAGAAATTTGCATACTAAAGGGAAAGATGCAGACAAAATAGAAATAAAAAAAATCACTGCAACTTACAACTTTAATATTAATCAGTAAAGCAGAAGTAGAGTGAAAGGAAGCATGAAAAGAAGTAAAACAAATGTGTACATTTAATCAGACAGGATTGCATAGGACACAAAGAACAGGGCTAATTAGTCTCAGCAGGTAGGGACTAACCTTCAGACTTCATAAATAAATAAGTCTGTGAACAATGTCTAAGTGGGAATATGGAGACAGAAAAGGGATTATTTTAAGACACCAAGTAAAAACATGACTAATGAAATACTTCACTGTTAAGTCAATGTACAAATGCATTGAACAGTTTCTTTTTCCACTGGTCTTTTGACTAACTTGCTTTTTACTTGCGGAAATTGTACTAAATAACTGTGGGCATGCACACTCCCCATTTGCCCCTGATTATGTACTTACTGTCTTCGCAAACTAGTGCCTTGCAGAGTGACACCTTAACAAATATTCTCCATTTTTGTTTGCTGTTTGATTTTTAAATGCCTTTATATCCCAGAACAATATGAAATTAGAAATACAAATGTGACAGACTCCTATTTATTTTGCAGGGCCATGTGTTATAATTTGATCCAAATGAACAAAAACAGTTGCACAGTTTTGTTTTGTTTTTCTAAGATCTTTGTACAATCTGCTATGGGGTTTTCTTTAAAGAAGCATGCTTTTGCTTCAGTCCCAGTGTAGTTGCTAACTACTTAGTAAGCACCATCCAAAGTCAGGGTGCAGGACAGAGCCAGGTGTTGCCCAAAGCTGGTTGCAGAAGAAGGACCTGATTCTGTAGAGACTCACACGCGTGAGTCACATCACTGACGGRTGATTTGTGAGGGTGATGACGCACYYGGGCTGCTCGTGCAAGTAGMGTTACTCATATGAGTAAATGCTGCTAGGAGGAAACTCAGTGTTGTCTGTCCCATTGCCAGCTGRTGCTCCTGGCTGGGAAAGATGGCTCTGGAAAAATGAAGGACTGTGCCCCAGCTGTGGAAGGTGTTTCCTGGGCACGATTTTGCAGCTCCTCTGAGCCCCTGGAAGGGCCAGGAAGCTGCTTTCTAGTTTTCATCAAGTTCTTCCTATTGCAAACTTCCAGGGATTTGTTTTCAAGCTGCATCTTTGTGGTAGTGTGGTTGTGAAGTCCAACACAGTTTAAGCAGGTAGTACAGGTCACTTCAGATAGCTTGTGCATCTCATTTGTATAATTTCCCTTTCTGTAACAGTTTTTTTTTTTTTTCATGGTCAGGGAAGAGAGAGCTCTCCGGGGTCAATGGCACCTGTTGAGTAGTATGTTCTCAGGGGATACCTTGGATTTTAAAAAAAGTATAGTGTTTAACAAGAAAAGAAACACAATATTGAAAAAAAAAAAATCAAACTAATCCATGCCACGAAACACAATTTATTGTTTGAATACCCRATTTTAAGTGACAGCTGGAGACAAAACCAGGTACTCCTGGAGAGTCACCAAAGAGATGGTCACTTCCTTTCCAAAGCTGGGCTCTTGCACAGATGAAGAAGTGGAAGTGCCTTTCTCCAAGATTTTGCAGCCCTCACCACTTGGTACAATATAGCAAATGCTGAGCAGTGGGGTTTGGTTACTGACAGCGGTGTCACCATTTTACACTTTGGCCCAGCAGTTTGGTCCTGAGAATCCTGCATAGAACAGCAGCAGCAAAAAAGCGTGTGAGGTTCACCTCCCAACTCACATTGCAACCAACTGAAGAGGGAAGAGGTCAACCAGGGGCAGCCAAGGAAATTTATTGTTTTGTGAAAAATGTTTTGGAATCTTTAATGTCTCACCAAAGGCCCAAGCCTTTATTGGAGAAATATGGCCTGCTGAATGCCAGCTGGATCTCCTGGCTAATGTTTAYATATTTGGGGTGAGTCATCCGTTTTCTTGGTCTCCTCCAAGAGGTCCCAATGTAGGTTGCAATGTGTAAAATTCCAATTATTTATTTTGGAAAGATAAAAGGACTTTGGTTGACCAGGCTGGGATTTGAGTCTACAGCTCAAAGGAGYCTGCATGTTTACAAATAATCTTGGATCATTAAATCTGCTCTGAATGTCAAAAAAAAAAAAAAATCAATATTGAAAACGTTCCAATAACTGGAAGCAAACACATCTGCCTAGARTCTTACCAGTACTGGCTCTTCCAGAGTTAGCAAAGAGGGGAAATTTTTTCTAGGGCAGATGAGATGACAGCATGAAAATACAGAAACCGTGGCTCCYGTCTGCAGTCATTTGCATTGACTGAAACAAGCACCTGTGAAAATYCAAGAAATCTATCAAAAACGGGAAAATATCAACACACAACCAGATCATGGTGCTGCTGCCAGATTTCTTTGTGGCTTTAGATGTCACACATACTGACCAGGTCACTGTGTGTTGTTTGAAAAAGAAGGCCTTTCTATATTCGCTTGGTGGAGAAACATTGGAAAATTAGTTCTGAAAACCTGCAAACTGCATGCATTGTTTTTCAAGCTTGTAACAGCCTAATGTCTTTCAATCCATGCTTTGCTTCCCAAGTCATGGCTATTGCTCAGTGGGAACATACCTCCCTTTTAGCACCTAAACCGCAGCTGTACCACTTGCTTTTGTTAGAGATAATTCTGTCAAATAATAAAATCGTTAATGGGTAGAAATATGCATTCATGCAGGGATTATTCACACTTTATCATGAGGTGATATCAAGCRCTATAGGAGTGAATGACAAGAAATAGGCTTCTGAAATACAGAGCCCTCCATAAATATACCATTTTTATTGACAACCCATCTTTTAACCCTAATAGTAATGGAAGAAATCCAATAAATGAAACATTTACTGCATAACTTGCCTTATTTTCGGGTGGTGTCTGATTCCTTTCTAGCTGTCTCTAGAAGATGTTTTTAGCCTAATTTGCTCCCTAG